AATTGTGTACATCCTGTATACTGTAGATTTCCATCCTTATAGGATGAGCGAGTGAGACAATGTGTTGATTTTTCTTTCTTTATGATCTTAAGACTGTTGTTCTTCTGCTGACAGTTTTCCTAATTTTAGACCAAGCGGGAAATGGACAACTTATTGAATGCTGAAATGGAAAAATGCCAAAATATAGGTTCAAATGTGTTTCATTTATGTGTTGAAGTATAGGTGCCTTGTGTTTTTCTGACTCAATAGCATATGAGAAGTTTCATTTAGTAGATGAGCTATTGCTTAATACTGAAGTTGTATTGCCAGTTGTAAAAAAGAAAACAATTTACAACGTTATTGAAAGGGCCTCTTAGTTCTTGAAGCACTGAGAAAACACTTCATTCAGTTAAACTGTTTTACTGTAAAAAAAAATATACTAAAGCAAAAAACAATTTTTTCCCTTCATTTCACTCTGATTAATAAAAATAAAGTCAAACAAACCAAAAAAAACTGAAATCAATATTTGATATATAAACTAAAATACTTACAGACCAGTGTAAAGAAATGGTCTCCATTTTCTTTAGAGCAAAGTTATATGCCTATATCTGAATTCTACAATACATATATCATTTTAGAAAACCAGAGGAGAGGCATGGAGTTGATAACTTTAGCCCAGAATGGCTAGATGATTCTATAAATCAGGATACATCTTCTTTTTTTTTTCCTTTATAAACATTTTGTGATTCAAGAGCATCACAGGGAAAGAATTGTATACTCGAGTTCTTTAGGGCGTATAATAAGGCCAACTGCTGGCAGCTGTTGGAATAAGGACAGAAGGAAGGTAAGGAGGCTCCTGGGAAAGCAGTGCTGATCTTCACAGCCCCCCTGGTTTCCAGGTAAGAACCTCAAGGGGCAGAGGCACGCCTTCTTTGATTTAGTGTTTCCAGCCCTAACTAAGTGTCAACCATGCAGTATGGGCAGAAAATCTTGGTGGATAAATGATGGGAATGCCAGTAGCTAAGATCATAGGTGACAGGGACAACCTGGTTCAGTGAAAAGAGCCTGTGATATGGAACCATACAGGCCTGGGTTTGAATTCTAGCTCTGCTGCCCCCTTTCCTATGTGGCCTGACATGTTATTTTACCTGCTGAGACTATGGCTTCTCTATGGTAAAGGGAGGATACTTTCTGTTGGAATTTCAGGGAGCTAGTATGAATCTGTCTTTCACTCCTGAGTTATGAACAGACTGTGAGAGTGATGGCAATTGAATTATCAGCTCAATTACTGGTAAAGGTGGCTAGATATATGGCTTAAATCTATGGCCAAATGGTCTTTCTAAGAGCCCTGTCTTAAGTCAATGGAAATGTGAGGAGTAGAAATAAAGTCTCCTCAACATCTACCCCTCGGGAATTTAGGATGGAATGATTTCATTTAGGTGGGCAATCAGTAAGTCTTAGTTTTCATCTCTCTCAATCAGATTTTGACTATTTTGTAAATTAGCTGAAATGAGCATAAAGACTGGGTTAGTTAGGACCACCAGACCAAAACCAAAGAACCTTCCAGGAAGTGCCTTGTATGGCCTCATGGGCGGTTCTGCCCCCCAACCAACAACTCTTTGGGACCAGATAGGAAATGGGCTTTCTTAATGCTGAATAGAAGGATTGTTGCCAGCAAATGTTTAGGAAACTCACCTGAGGAGAGAATGGGTTCCTAGCAACAATGCTGGCCTGAACCTTTCCTGAGCTACATTTTTAGTAGTTTAATCTGCTAGATGAGATTAGGCTCTGGTTGATTTCCTTATTTAAGCACCAAGAAGTCCAGAGAAAAATGGTGCCATTTAAAAGAGGTCCTCACATACCATATGAGAGTCAGGAAGAGACTTATTTTAACTACTTGGAAAAGTTTATTAGATTCCCAAAACCTTTGTACCTCCACCTCTCTTTGTTATTTTTATTACTGTTTGTCTGCTCTCTTGTAATGCTTAGCCAGAAAGCTCTTAAAATGGAAAGGACTTGTGTGCATATATTCAGTGGCAACAAAAGGAATCCAGGAGGGGAGAGTGAGTTGTAGCATCCTGCAGGCCTCATCCCAGGACTCTGTGGCAAGAGAAAAAACTATGGAATGGTGGAGCAGAGGTGAGGGTAGGGGGTATATAGGGAGTGAATCCAGGACAGAGAAATTGCCCTGGGTTCTTAATAAGCAAGAGACCCATGTACAGGTTTCCTGAATGTAGCTAGACTAAAATTAATGCTTATAACAGGCAAGAAATTTTTTTAACTGTTTTCTAATTTAAAAATAAAACTGACTCTTTTTAGCAAACCATCTTAACATTACAGATATTTTAATTTGGGTAAGATTCTTGGATCAAGTGAATTGAATAATGTGGAAATTAATTCATAAATCTGAGATATCAGCAAGTGAATAGGATTTGTGAGTTGTTTGACAATACTCCTATATACATTAGCTTTTCCTATATCATTTGACTGCTAGTATTTCATCTCCAGTGTGGCAATTAAGAATGGGAAAACATCCCCCTGCCACCCCAGGCCTAGAATCCACTCAAACTTGTGGGATGAACATTTTACCCAAATATAGACCTTTAGTGATTAAGCTAATTTACTCTTTTCAAACTGTGACATCCTGTTTATAAGAAAGAAGGCTTATAAAGTCATCTTGAGCATGAACTAACTTCTAAAATCAACATTTTGGTGAACTTTGTGTAAAGTGAGTCACAACTATTTGGATGAAGATTTTCTGGTTTTGAAAGAGAAAGTACTTGGAATAAAATTCCATTTTGGTTTCTTGAAATGGAAACATTTGAAAAATGGAATTTGCTAGCGAGCCTATCATGTAACAAGTTTCCACACACATTTCTTAAGTCACTTCTGTGAATTTGTATAGCTACATCTCCCATGGGCCAAGTCTTAACCATCACAAGATGCATTTAGCCTCCATTATCCTTCCCAGAAATGATATTTTAAAAAATGCTGCACAAGGTAAAAATTTTTACAATATTTTGAAGGTAATATTACTTACTTTGTAAACCATATTCTTAAAATTATTCTTTGCCCTGAAGGAAAGCTAAACTTGTGTCTATTCATGTTATTTGCCTGGTAGAAAAGTGTTCTCTTTTTTACTCTGGCCCTTTCATATTTGAAAACGTCATTGTGGGCAACTCACAGTCTAATTTATATAGAATAATGTTGCATTCAAAATTTTGTATTTGATTTTAAATGTATACTTGCTGTTTATTAGCTGTACTTCTGAATGTACAGGTTGAATTTTGTTGAATTAAGTACATCCACAACCCCTGTTTAAGCATCACCAGCCTCTGTGCTGTTGACCCTAAAATCCTATCTCCTGCTCTGCCCTGTTAAGTGTTGGTTCTGTACTTAAGGATCCTGCCTGGTGTCTCCACCTGTTTGTACCTCAAGCACTTCAAGCCTATCATGTTCCAATGTGAATTACTTTTTTTTTTTTTTTTGCCAGTCACTGTTCTTTCCCCTGTGTTTCTTGTTCAGTTGCTGGTGCCATCTCCCACGTGAGGGTCTCTGGTCATCCTAGAACCCTTCTTTTCACTTATCACACCACCTAACTGGTCGTCAATCCCTGATGATTCTGCCTCTAAAATGTCTCTTCTTTCCCTTCCAGCCCTAACTCAGGCACAGAAATCTCTTGGCTAATTCAGAACAAAAGTTTCTCGTGGGGCTTTCTTGTCAGTCCTTCTTTCTCTGCCACGAGATCTTTCTGTGCATATAGTCAAACATGAATATACTCATCTGCCTGTAAACTTTACCTACTCTCCACTGCATTCGGAAGACGTCCTTAGAACCTGACACAACTTACTTTTTCTAGATTCCTTTCTTCTACCCGCTGCTCCCTGGCCCCTGTCCATATGTAGCTTTAGCCACTACTAAAAGTCCTCTGAATATACTGTATATTTTCACACTGAACTTTTCTCTGTTTTGATCCTCATTACTTAAGACTCACCTTCTATCTTCTCACCTTCCTCCTTCCAGAAGTAAAAATCATTTCTTCCCTGTCCCCTCATAGCACTTTTTATTCTTTTTTGCCATCACTTGATAAACCTCATTATGGTTAATAGTCTATGTGAGGCTTTCTCAAGATAAATTATGAATTTCTTAAAGGAAAGACTTGTTTCCAAGTCTTGTGAGAAAAAGTAGTTCTTTCAGTGTTTAAGATTTAATAAGGCCCCATTAATATGTGCTGAAGTAGGGATATGTTGAAATGTATTCAGATTCTCATAGGTGTAGTTACTGTACCAAATGAATAGACAAGTAACAAAGATTAGAGTAAGCAAAAGAGCTCCTTTACTAATATTTTTTTGAGAGCTAGGCATTTAAATTTATGACAGACATGGGCATTCCTCTGAAAAGTCAGGGAATAATGCATGACTGTATCACCTTCAAATTACTGTTTGCTCAAACTAGACCCCTTAATGTATTGTCTCTGGCATTTGTTATCAATCCATTGCATTGATGATTTTAAAATAAGAAATACTTTCTGTCTAGGTTGGCATTGAATTGATTGGCCAGCATGTACTGATTGGTTAGCATGAATTGATTGGCAGTAAGGTAAACACTCTTAAGTTAAATGCAGACCAAAAATAAAAAATGCCGTCTCTGTCTTCTACTTGTTACAATAGAGGTGGAAAGAAAAAACTAGTGCACATGGAATAATTAAGTGCTAGACTAGTTGAGACAGATTATAATAAACAAAAAAGAAATGTTAAACAAGGAAAAATCATTATGACCTGGAGAATTAATGAAAGGTCTCATTAAGAACTTATTTACCTGGTTCTTAAAAAAATAGATAAGGATTACATGAGTGAAAACAAGGAATTCCATATGAAGGAAATAATATGGATCAATTGACAAGATTTTTTTTTTGGCTTGTTTTGCAAGCCAAAATTCAGTTGATAATTTTAGCAAATATCTATATTGTTTACTTTTATGAATATGAAGTTATTTTGTTCTATTTTGTGTTTCTGTCACAGGTGGATCAGACATTGAATATCTAGACTTCTATAAGCCTGTCGTGTGGTTTTGGATCCTTGTAGGCCTGGCTTACTTTGCTGCTGTCCTGAGCATGATTGGAGACTGGCTGCGAGTAATATCAAAAAAGACAAAAGAAGAGGTGAGAATTAAGAAGTGTGAAAAAGCACTCTTATTTAGTTAATTCAGTAAAGATTATTTTAATCTTTTTTTTTTGCATTTACATTTAAAAATATTTAAATGGGGGCTGGCCCGGTGGCGCAAGCGGTTAAGTGCGCACTCTCTGCTGCGGCGGCCCAGGGTTCGCCGGTTCGGATCCCGGGCGTGCGCTGACGCACCACTTGTCAAGCCATGCTGTGGTGGCGTCTCATAGAAAGTGGAGGAAGATGGGCATGGATGTTAGCCCAGGGCCAGTCTTCCTCAGCAAAAAAAACGGGAGGATTGGCAGATGTTAGCTCAGGGCCGATCTTGCTCAAAAAAAAAAAATTTAAATGTTATTTAGAAGTTTTAATCTTTATGTTTGGTGTGAATTTGCTATATAAGGCTATGGGAAAATATATGAATTATAATTCATTTACTTAACAAATATTTACAAACAGCTTTATGTGCCAGTGCTATCTAGGTACAAAGGCTAATTTGTAATAAAAAAAGATGTAATTTTAAAAATATTTTCCTCATTATTTCTTTTCTTTTTTCTTTTGTTTTCTTTTTTCTTCAAGGACACAAAGTAAATGTTATTCTGTAAAGAAAAATATGATAGAAAATATTTGTGTCAAGATATTAGTAGCATGAAAAAGTGAATGTATTATATAATATTGAGGTTTTTTGCTATATTCAGTTATTCTCTTTTTGCATATGTCTCTATAAATGTGTACAAGTGCACATGTATACACACACCTATATTCCCCAAAGCTGTGTGCATGATGGCCAGTTACCTTGTGTACAGATTTCCCCTGTTCAAAAAGATATTCTTTTACTTATTTTGTACAACTATACATATAGAAATGAACATTAGAATTTTGACCCATGGAATTTTGGAAATTTGAAATTTAAATCTTGATTTTGAAATTTTATAGATTGGAAGTTAATTAGTAGGATGCCAGTCCTATTGGATTAGGGCTCCACCCTTATGACCTCATTTAAGCTTAATTACCTCCTTAAAGTCACTATCTCTAAATATAGTCACATTGGGGGTTAGAGCTTCAACATATGAATTTTTGGAGGACTCAATTCAAGCCATAACACCATCCTTTCGAATAAATTTCAATTTCTACACTAACTGGTTTATTTAATATGAAAAACAAGTTTGTGTGCCAACTTATGAGTGACCTTCATGATTCTCAACCAAAAGTATGAGATATATATCATTGTGTTTTCATGCTATTGAACACTGGAATGTAGTAAACTGTTTTTTTCTTAACATACGTCTTTGGCTTCTACCTGGCCTTTTGAGCAACTTTCTGGTGACTGCATCTGTAGAAAGAGATGTGAGTAAAGGCCAGGGGCCAGTGTATGCGAGCCCTCTGGAGCTGCAGCTGCTCTAGACAGCTGAGCCAGTGAGAATGAAACTGTCCATTTGAGCAGATGTGTGTTTTCTATACAATGCAATTTAGGGAAATGACAAAATTGGGTCACAAATTCAAAAAAGAATGTGAAGAAAGAAAGGGAAAGACAATTTATAATTTATCTGTAGACTATACAGGGCCAAAGTTTTGTAAATGAAATACTACTAAAATTTCTACAGCAATGGAAAAAAGATTATTAGATAATTTTAGTTTTAAAGGGCGTAATTAAATAAAAACCAACTAGATACATTCTCATTATCATCTTTACAGAGATGAACCATGCCTGCTGACTGTTCACTATGTATTCCTTAGCTTCTGCACCTAAACCATTCCAGATACTCCAACTTTGAAAAACTTCCTAGTTAGTTAGTTGGAAGTTCAGAAGCAACAAGGTTATTCCTAGTTTTCAATTTTGATGAATAAAAATGCTAAAGTTTTGATAGCTTGGAATCCTCTCTATTAAAAAATGTAACTAGTACATAATATAAAAGATACAAAATAATGTATAGCATCAAATTTCTAAGTGATAATACTAAAACACATGCTTTCCCTGGATGAAAAGGTTTTGGCTAGTAATAAGCCCCAGTCTTACACTGTATTTTCAAAACCAAATCTTCTTAAACCATATTGGTTAAGTATAAACTTATAGCTCTAATCATATGTGGCCTTATTTCTGTTTTTTTTTGTGTTAAAATATATTCTGTTTCCAATGAAGACTAATTTTAATGAAAATATTATGATCAGAAGTAAAGAAAAATAGTTTTTGGGCCGGCCCCATGGCTTACTGGTTAAGTGCACGCACTCCGCTACTGGCGGCCCGAGTTCGGATGCCGGGCGCACACCAACGCACCACTTCTCTGGCCATGCTGAGGCCACGTCCCACATACAGCAACTAGAAGGATGTGCAACTATGACATACAACTACTAGGGCTTTGGCGAAGAAAAAAAAAAAAAGGAGGAGGATTGGCAATAGATGTTAGCTCAGAGCCGGTCTTCCTCAGCAAAAAGAGGAGGATTAGCACGGATGTTAGCTCAGGGCTGATCTCCCTCACCAAAAAAAAAAAAAATAGTGTTTGATGAGCATGCTGAAATAAAACATGCTGCTATAGCTAATCCATCTGAAATATTTGAAGAGGAAATGGTTAGTTGGAACAACATTGCATTGTTTCAGAAGTGTCACATATAATTATAGTTGATCTGCATTCCTCAAGGAAAATAATAATGATCTCAATAATTTTTCCATGAGACGTAGGCGTTTCTGTAAAAATGTTTATTTGTTTCATTATTTTTAAAGCTCTAATGGAGAATAGGCACATGTTCAACAATAAAAATCGGTATGATGTTATCTTTTTCTATGAAGCTGTGTACCCACTTCTGAGGAAATGATGTTTCCGTTTAGAAAATAAAGATTATTTAGGTATTCTGGATAATACAGTAATACTGATATCTGAGGCAGGTATAATAAAAATAAGATGTGACTACAAAAGTCAGAAGGTAAATTCCTAATCAAGCAGGGAGTTGTGCATCCTTATTATGCACGGACATGTCATAGTCGTTCAGTTGGCTACTGTTCACATTCCTTCAGTTTGAAAGGCCTGTGATTTCTACATAGTTCTCATATTGATGTACATGTTCCACAGTGTCTGGAATGTTGCTGTCCATATGTGAGACAAACACCACCACAGCCACTGCCACAGCATAGCAGTGTTGTCAGGCCATGTGGCACTAAGCTGGCCACAGTGAGTGGATAGCCAAGCATCACTTCTTTATCAATATCATTTCTTTCGTCTCTGGAGGCGTTCATGCAAATGGAGATGCTCACTTTAGTAAGTTCGCCTTACATCATGTTAAGAAAACTCCCTTTGTTTGGGAAGCTCTAGTGCCAGGAAGCCTTGAAAGACTGTCCCTGAAACTTATATTTGGCCCTAGCATTGTGAAGGGACCTGACAATATGGAGGACATAGTTTTCTTCTGCCGGTTACCTGGTGAGAGCATTTGGTCTTCTCAGAACTTCACTCAGGGTGGCGATGCCTCCCTTCAGTGAAAGAGCTGGGACTTGGCGGCTTTTTATCTTGGCCTGAGATGGGCATTTAAAGAGCAGTTGCAGCCTGGGCCCTGGAAAGGGTGCCGTAGAGCACTTTATCGTATTTCTTACGGAAGAAGTGCTTTTAATATGAAAGGGTTATATGCCATTTGAACTAGTTTGGACTTTATTCTGAAAACGTTAGGGAGCCATTGAAGGATTTTAAGTAAGGGAATAAATGATCTTGTCAACAGTGAGGAAGATGGATTAGAAACAAAGGTGGATGCAGGGACCTCACTTGGGAGAAATAATAGCAAGAATCCAGGGAATACAGAAGGAAGGATCTATGGTGGCAGTGGGAGGGAGATGAAAGTATGGATTTCAACATTATTTGCGGGATAGGAGGAATAGGATTTGGTAACACATTATACGTGGGCAGTAAAGAGAAAGGGAAGATGACATTCATGATTCTAGCTTTGGATGGGATTATGAAACACAGGAAAATGAGAGATTCTGAGTAGATGGGAGGAATGAGAACGTCATTTTGGACATATTGTGAATGATAGATATGTTGGACATCCAAGTGGCTAATTCAAGTGTAGATAATTGGATATGCAAGCCTGGAATGGGCGAAAGATGGGAGCTGGAGAAATGGTTTGAATGGATCATCACAACATACATGACAATGGAAGTTGTGCCTATAGATGCATAATGAAGATTTGTAAAGTAAGTCAACAATAGAGCTAAAAATGGTAGCTGGAGTAACACCTTCAGTTAAGGGGGTGGATGCAGGGACTGTAAAGGACTGTTTAGCAAATAATGTCATCAATTAAATTGGTTCACGGGTAGGGTCTGTTGGAAGGGCAAAGGAGTTGAAGTTTTGAAGAGAGAATGGTTAAAGTGATGGATCAGATTTGCTAAAGACAATGGGGAAGAAAAGGAATCCAAGGAAAGGCTGACACAATAACACAAAATAGATAAAGTAACTAGAATTCTCTAGGAGGTTGTGCTCCAGGAGTGCCACTCCTGTAGGAAAAAATGTTAATGTTGCCCCCTGGGAATTGTGCTGTGCAGTGTGTATATCATAAGATAGTTCTTTGAGCACATCGAGCACAATTCCCAAGGGCAGCTTTCATGGTATATTTTATGGAAATGGGAGCCTTTGCAGCACAGCTAATAGAAAACTATTAGTTGTGAATGGTGCCCCCTGGAGTTGAGCAGTGCAGCGTCCTTGATCCTGAGAACTGTTGGGCATAAATACATGGTAACTATGGACGGTGGCCAGGATGGGGTGGGAGGTGAACTTGGGAATTACAGTGCAAGGTGGCAGGAAAAGGACAAGACTGGAGGCCTGGAGACCAGTTAGGAGATTGTTTAATGTCTAATTCATTCCTAAATCATTTGTTTATTCATTCATTAAAAAATATTTACTAAGTTCTGTATGAAGAGGGCTATGTGAGGTTCTGAGAGTAACCTTCATCTGTGGTAGTCTGAGGCTGATTTGTGTATTGGGAGGTACCACATGCCATAGGTGGTACATTTCTTTATTGATCT